CCTCTGACTTGGGGTCTTGCTACGCTGGCAGAGCTGGGGGCACAGTGAGGTCTGGGTCACCCCTTGCATCCCTTCTTCACTGGCTTCTCCGATCTCACTCTTCCTCCAACCTGTGCAGACAAGGAGTTGCTCGGAGCTCTGGAGCAGGGCAGCCGCCGTGTCCTTAGCAGAGAGCCTCTGTCCATGGGCAAGTGCTGATGACAGGTTTTATCAAGTGGAACATCTGAGAGCTGGCAGGCCGTCTCTGAGATGGGGATTAGGTTTTTTGGAAGCTCACGGGTGGCTGGGATCTCTAAGTTTCACTTCATCATAAAGCTGCATTGCACCTCTGCCACTCTTAAGCCCCCCGACTGGGTTTACATTTATGGAACCGGTGAGTTTGTCGTAATAAAACTCAGCAACATCACAGTTGCTTCCAATAATTTTTAAGATTTTTTTTTTGTTACAACTGGACATCCTGGGCCTGTGGTTATCCAATTTAAATGTAGGAGTTTAAAAAAGCACATCAAGCAGTATTTGTTCTTATGGATGTTAAGAGTCTCTAAGACTTCTGGGGTAATGGACTAAAACAACAGTCCAGTTAATTATTGGTGCGTTGCAGTGAGAGCCCTGAAGAATCCCAGTATTTATGGAGCTGCTGCCAATGCCAGATGAAGTCACTCCGATTATCCTCGCCAGCTGTTTGTTTTGTTGAACCACAGCAATTTCTCTAAGTTACTGAAGTTGATGTCATTGGAAGTGATGTGACATTTTTGCACACATATAGAATAAGTGTTAAAAAATGCTCCAGAAGAGCTTTTCCAGTCTTGTCTGGGAGCTGGCTGGGGAGTTGAATTAAACTGGCTTGATGGAACTTAATCCATAAAGCAAATAAGTCATCAGGCATAAATGGCTTTACCATAAATGTCAGACAGATTCTTACTGGTCCTGACAGTTAGCACTTACATCTGTTTGGAGCAAATAAAAGCCTCGCAATTCACAATCATTTTCATAAATGTGCTGTTCTGCCTCTGCCTCTTCACGGGAAGCTCTAGGAATAAAGGTCAAAATGTGATTTATTCCCCTTTTTAAAAACTAGCTCTTCTGATGGATGAAATGCTAGTTATTTTCAGGCAAGAATTGACCTTTTTTTTTTTTGTCCCCCCTCCACTTCAAATTTTTTGTCAAACCAGCAAAGCGCAACTGTGCCTTGCCTCTGCATCCTAAGGAGTACCCCAGTTACCGGAGCGCTTGAGCCCTGGGTGCCCAGAGGTGCCCAACTTTTCACATGCCAGAAAAGGACTTCACCCACCTTCTGCGTGGGTGGCTGGGGCTGCAGGGCACTGCTGGTGACCTCTCCTTCGAAGCAATATCAGCATGTTACTGACTTGCTCCCTGACTTACTCTTTACTTGAAAATAAGTCTTAAAAACCTAAATGACTTGGTGGGTAAAGTCTTTAAACCACTGTCTTAGTGTAATTGTAAGTTCTCTCTCTTACAAAGGCTTCATGGAAAATCGGTAGCTGTTGCGTTGTGGGGAATTACTGGTATCTTCGTTATCGCTGCTCTTGCTGGAAAAAGCAGATGCTGACATAGGAAGGAGAGGGGCTTGGGTGTTTGGTGTAACCGTAACAGTGAAATGAGTAGACGCTTGAATGAGGAAAGGGAGCGGAGCTGGCTGCTGCCTTTGTCAGCCCGCGCTGGGGCAGCTATCTCTTGGTGAAATTTATTAGTGGCAACACACTTGAGAGGACACAAAAGGCTTGTGAACCTCCCAGCACGGCTTGCTCTATTTAAAGTCGGCTTTTTAAATCAAAGAAATGGGGCTCTTGACAGCAGAGCTTTGTGCATCTTTTGTGAAGTTCAGATAGTGGGGCTTTTTATTACAGGCTAAATTAGCCCATTTTATTGTTTTGCACTGAGGGATGAGGTCAGTTGACTGGGAATCTTGCTAACAAGGTTTTACTCCTGTCTGCTTTTTACAAGTGTTAACACAGGCTATCCACCAGTGCCGTGCACTTGCTGTTAATGAAAGAAAGATGAATGGTCTAGCAACCCCGAGAGCTCTCCTTCTTCCCCCACCACTGAGCTGCTCAATCCATGTCAGTGTACTTGAGCTCAGATGCTCCCTGGGGCTCTCATTCCTCCAAAGTCGGGTGCGCTTGTTTTCCTTCCGATTTTGCATGCTTGCACGCTGCTGCTGGAACAACAAGAAAAGGATGAACTTTGCTGGGCAGGGTGATTGATTGGGTTTGAAAAGGAAATGGGAAAATAGTAGGCACGTTGAATGATGCTCATGAAGCATGGTGAGCTCTGAAGGAGCTGTCTGATGCGGCTCACGCTTTTTCCTGGCACCCTTTGCATACCAAACTTATTCGGTTACGTGCTGATTTTCTCAGGTTCTCAACTAGCAAGAAGCTTCCCTTGTTCGTCCTCCCCTGCTCACTCAGCAGCAACCGCTGGGCCAACACTGTGCTTTGGTGCGTGGAGTGAGGTTGGGGTTTCTGCTGTGGCCCCAAGACTTGAGCCTGTGGCTCCTGGGACTTGGAGGTGATGTCTTTCCATGTACTCAAAGGTGCTGCCAATGCCTTGAGCCGTCAGACCCGGAGGATGCTCAGCTCCTGTTGTGCTGCAGGGAAGCAGGGTGGGAATGAGCCAGGATTTCTTCCTGTGCATAGCTCAGGAGCTGCCATCGGCTGAGACTAAAAGCAAACTCAGCTTTAGCAAATTCTCTTCTGCTTAACCTTTTGCACTGTGTTTAGCCAACATGCCTTTCTTTGCTTTATCTGTTCCTTGAGGAAACATAGTTATAGTCCTGGTCACTTATAGGATGCAGACTATCAGCTCTCCTTGAGGTGTAAATCCAACCTTATCAGGAAGAAAAAGCTTTCAGCCTTCCTTCCTTTCCTCTCGGAGACAAGTACCAAGTCTGCTTTTGTGGCTGTTTTATTTCAGCTTATCCCAACAGCACCGGACATTCCCCATAACCCTATGGACACTGGGGAGCTTTAACCACCTAAGTAAGAGAAGGGCATAAATGGCTTAACTCGGATGTCAATGAGGGGTGGGGGTGGTTGAGGTCCTGTGTGCAGAAATAGCAGCTGGAAGGATCCTTCACATCATCAACTTTAAGCAAATTGCCTTGGCCAAGTTGGGCATCCTCCACTGGAGGGAGCTCCAAAGGGGCAGCCTGTTTTGTTGCTCTGAAGACAGGGATGATAGTATATGGTGTGAGTAACCCCGTAACACCCCCAGCTCTTTCAAGTCCCTGCTTAGGGCTGGGCGATGTCCTCTAGGTCACACCACGGTCGAGTTCCCCATGCAGGTCACGTTGTCAGGTGGTGGCCAGAGCTGGCTGGAAGTGGGAAATGTTCTACAAGACAAAAATCTCGCATTTTCTGTTTTCCCATTACTGCCTGCCCATTTTTGGTGGTTATGTTGAAAAAGAAAAAGCCAGAACAATAATGACAGAACTGCTCTATGGATTTATAAAAAAAAAAAAAAGGAAAGGGAAGGAAAGACTATTGCTCTTTCTTAAAATAGAAAATTGAAAACCGCTTTGCAGACATTTCTGTTAATTTTGTAAAGGTTATTCACAGGAAACAATGACTAATAAGCTTAAACCAATGCTCAATTTTAGGGTAACTTGCATAGCATCTGGGAGTTGCCCAGATGTTACGGTGAGCTGCTGCAGAGATGGATGTGATAACCTAGAAATCAAGAAGGGAAACCCCAGGCGGCTGTAAGCTGCCCCTCAGAGCCAGGCAGGATGTGGCCAGGTCCGCGTGGTCTTTGCAACCTTATTTCCTGGTGGATCTCTGCCAAAAATGTAAACAGCACTTTTTTTTGTGAAGTCAATGGTATATGTTCATGGGAGGCTGAGCTGGACCGGCGGCTGGACCCTGTGCAGCTTGCGTGCACGAAGGCAGATCTGGGCCATAATTTCAAAAATATCCTTCAGTTTTCCACGGGGCTGTTTGCCAGTCTGGCCAGGCTCTGTTTGGAACTTCTGGTTCTTATTACATACCCAAGTCATCCTCCCAGTTTTGCTGTAATGCTCCTTTTTCCCCTGATGCCTTAGCCATGTATTTCTATTATTAAATAAGGTGAGTTTTTTCCTCTAATTAAAATATCAGCTGTAATAATCCAAGTAGTAAAGTCTTGACTTATGAAACTGTCTAGTGAATAAACTGTTTTTTGGCGTTATGGTTAAGCAGTGTGGTGGTTCTTTACGAAACTGGAGAATGATTTCTGCTCGGATCTTTGGGCTGTGGTGTGTGGTGCTTTGTTCACTATGTAGCGAGTGGTCTGTTAAAGAGCCTCGGTGCCTAATGAACTTGTTCTGCACCTGGTTTTCAATAAGCCACTGCAAACCCCTTTTCTCTTCTCTTCTTCTGATTATCAGATGCATTTCTAATCTCTTTCTATGTCTGCTGCACTGTTGTGGGTGGAAAAACGAGGTGAGGCAAGATGTAGAAAGTGGGACTGATGTCTTTTATGAGACCAACTGATGGGGTGGGAGAAACGAAGTTTTGAGGCCAATAAACAGCTTTTTGGACTGGGCAGGGCAACTCCAGAGCCCTGCAGAGCTGCACAGGACCAGGAAGGAAAGGAGGGGTTTCTTCATTGTCTACAGGACACTGCTGATTTGGGGTGTATAGAGCTCTTTTCTCTTATTTTTATTGCACCTGCCTTGCCCGGGGCTGTCAGCGCTGTTGGGGGTGAGCTCTCTGCAGACGTGGTTATCTTTTGGGAAGGTGCGTTTGGGACTAGGTGTGAAGCACAGCGGCTTCACACCTCGTGGAGCAGCCCGAGATAAGCGGCTGCTGGACCCAGCCCTGGACAAGGGAGGGTTTTTGCCTGGCTCGTCTCGGGCAATGTGCCCGTGTCAGGGAGGTGGCCCTGCCAAGTGTTTTGCTTTTTATTTCTTGGTGGTGTTTATCCCTGTGACTGCAGTCTCGGGCTGGTGGCTCCACATCCACCATCCGTCCCCCTGACGCTCTGTCTTTCCTTCTCCGCAGGGTGACATCCAACAGCTCCTGATCGTGGCGGACCCCCGAGCAGCCCAGGATTACTGTGAACACTACAGCCCCGACTGCGACACCGCCATCCCCGACTCCCCCCAGTCCCAGGACCCCAACCAGGATGAATATGTAAGTCTCTTGCAGGGTTTGGGGATGCTTTTGGGGTAGCAGCTCCCAGCTCTGTATTGTGGTTGCAAACGTATTTGGCTTCTTCCTCCTGTTCAGCTTCCCTGCGACTCATCTGTAAGGGCTGAGGCAGAGCTTGTTTTTAGGGTTTGCAGGTTCTAGTCTTGGCTCTTGCCCTCAGGATTTTCCCTTCCTTTCTGCGCTCCTCCCATTTCCAGAAACTGAGATGAATATTCACTTGGAGCTCAAAAACTTGCAGGAGAGACAATCTGAGCTGAGTGTGAAATACTGACCTTCCCTGGCAGGTTGAATGCTGTCCAAAACAGGCACTTGTTTCTAAATTTCAAATTTCACTGTTGAATTTCTAAAAAGATGAAGCAGTTCTTTTTCAATATTCTTTGAAACAATGGGTGTTAAAGAAGGGGGAAACATTTTTGCCTATGCATTTGATGTTTGAATTTCATTTTGGCAGAAATGCTCCTAGCTCATCTGTATAAGCTGCTGTGCTCAGTATTTTTTCTACAGAGTTAGCCTCAGATCTTTTCTTTTAAAAAAAAAAAAAGAAATGGAAGAAAGAGAAGACTGATACAAAATACCTTTTTATTTCTGCTGCTCAATTAGAAATGTCTGGGTGTGACTGATTTCCAGAAGAGCATCACCTGAATTTTACACATTTTTAAGAGGACTCGGGCTCAGCTCACAGCAATTGAAGTGCCTGGCTGCTTCAACCCTTCTCAGCATCTTGGCTGCTCTCTTGGTCTGATTTGCTGGTCCATGGACTCTCTTGCTTTCAGCTGGTCTCAGATCTGTGGGCTCCTGCCGAATCCCCATGAGGCTGTAATTCTGTCAGCCTGCTCCGGCTTAGCTTTGGGATTGAATTAAAAACCTGAGCCTAGCAGGGCTTTGGGGAGCAGAGCAATGCTCGCAGGCGAGGCACGGCTGCCCAGCCCTGGGGAAGTGCCATAACCGCACCGCCAGCACTTGCGGAGGAACAATAAATAAGTAAAATAAAATAGACTTCGGTATGGTCAAAATATGTGGTAGTAGGAAAATAAAACTCTTCTTTTGGAGCCAGCAGTTCAACAAGGGCTGGCTTGTCTTAGGGCTGTGTTGCTCCGTGTAAGAATAACTCTTCCACGCGCCGGCGTCTGCTGCCAGTGAGAGCGATGGACTGGTGAAGAAATTTGCCATGCCCGGCTGTAACCAAATGTTTTGTTTGTATTTCATTTTGAAGAATGACTGACGCCTTGTGGAAAACGCAGAAAATATCTTGTTTTCGAAGCCCTTCTGCCTGCGGGCCGCGGGTGGATGGGAAGTCACACGGATGCTATTAGTGCAGTCAGATGAGTGAAAACAGCATCCCTGCTTCTCAGAGCAGCTGCGTGATTTGAGCGTTTTCTTCCCCTCTCTGAATAATATTGGATGTGTGACCTAGGAGGTCTCAGCAATCTGAGGTTAAAAAAAAATAATGGTTTTTCTTTTTTTTTATTATGTTATCGTGGGTAACTGAATTGCTGCAGGGTAGGTCCATCCTCTCTGATAAGGGAGAACATGCCGCAGGACCGAGAGATGACTGGGAACCTCCTCAAATCACAGCCATTGCCAAAGCAACCCAAAGCCAGGCTCTTGGTGAAGGTTTCACAGAAGCTGATGAACACAAGAGGAAGGGAAAGATTTCGCTGCATGGGTCTGCATCGTGGCATGGCCCCGTTGACATGAAGTAATATCTAAAAGAGCTGTCAGGAGCTGGGGTGCTGCCAGCTTATTTTCTGCTTCTCATCTTCTCTTTGCAGTACACTGATGGGGAGGGAGAAGGTGACACCTACTACTACGAGTACCCCTACTACGAAGATGTTGATGAAGCTGTAAAGCCAGAAGCGCCCACCACCAAACCTGGCACTCCCGAAGTGGCTGCTGGAGAAAGACCCGAAACCAAGCAGGTACCGACGCGGGGTCCTGGCAAAGATGCGTTTGATAAATGGCACCTTTATAGAGGGGGAGCTGGAGAACGATGCAGAATTTTCTTTTTTGTTTCTCTGATTCTGGCATTTTATTTCTGCAACAGGACTATCCTGCCCCCACGCCATCACCTGATGGAGGGGACCCCGGCAAGCGGACAAAAGGGGATGCTGTGGTGGATGACCCCCTCGTAGACGAGTACAACTATGAAACCATTAACGAAGAGTACTTCACACCTCTTCCCTATGAAGATATCAACTACAATGAAGAAGTAGACCCCGAGGGCGGACTCACTGAAAATGCCGTGGAAGCTGAACTCCCCACGAGTACCGTCATCACCTATAATGAGACCGATGTAATTTTAATGAATTTTTTTTTCCTTTCACTTTGTTTTTTATTAATTCTGGTATTTCATAGCCCTGAGAGCAAAAGAGATGTGATCATCTATATAGTAAATCTGTAAGTGGTTTAGGCAGCTGTTGGAAGAGGAAGTTTCTTATAAAATATTTTCACTCCAGATATTTCAGGGTGTGGAATACAGATATTTAGAATTTGGTTGAAGATCATTTCCCTGGAAAAATTGGTTCATGCTGACATCTGCATTTCCCTGTGAGAAGAAAAATGAGGGTTGGTGTTAAAATCTAAGTAAAAGCATTTTATTTCAAAGCTATTAATATAAATCCTTAAAATGTTGATTTGATGGAGAACATCAATATTTTTTCATTTTTGTCATTCCCATTGAATAGCATCTTTATGTTTTTCAGTAATTTTTAAAAAACATTTCAACACTGGGACAAACCCTTGATTTCAAACTACTGCATTCACCCAGAGAGAGCCCCTCTGTTTTGTGCACAGATCTGCTCAAAAATGAGATCAGTCCAGATCCCACAGCTGAGGTTTCTGTTGGAGTGATTGCATTTTTAGTTACCCACACTTTAATATGAAATTTCAACTGAAATATGTTGCACTTGGGACTCTTCTATCCTTAAGACTTGCCCAGTTTTTGCCTTTCGTATTGGTGCTTAAATAGATGAATGTTGGTCTCATCCTTAGATGAGACTGAGATAAGTTGTCATGCAGCTGCATGCTGTATAGCTCACCATGCAAGGAAATAACTACGCTAGACGAGGCAAATTCTTCATTATCCAGGAGCATCAGCAAGGAGAGTCGATAGCGGGATAATGTTTCCTGGGAGGTAGGATGGGACTTGGCAGAGTGCCACGGTTCCTCCTCAAATGGAGAAGAACTGCTTGGTTATGGGACTGTCAAAACTCAAGGCTTTCTGGGAGGTGCTGGAGGGTGGCAAAAGAGATAGCAAAAGCTGGCCAACATATCTGGAGTTGGACCTGGAAGCTTGAATGAAAAGGTGTCGGGGAAAGCGTCCAAGCAAAGAGCTGAGCAGCTGGAGCGAGGCAGGAGGGGAGCCAGCCGCCCCGAGGGCTGGTGGTGTGGCGGGGATCGAGTCCAGCCAACCGGGGATAAAAAAATGCAGTGGAGGGGGAGGCTGAGCAGCCCAGAATGATACACAGAGAGAAACAGAAAAGGCTCCAGCGTATCGAGGAAGCGAGTGCCAACCTCGGGAACCCATGGATGGGAAACTTCTCTGTTTCCTGACAAAGAGCCAGAAATCTTTGGCCAAGCTTGAACTTTCTAATAGAGAGGAATTAAAGATTGGATAGCGTGACCTTAGAAAAAATTGGAAGAGGAAATAAGAGGCCTCAAGGGCCACTTCAGTTGTTAGGAGAAGGAAAGTTCAGGTAGGGAAACACACGGCGAAGCTTTCCTATGCGAAAGCTCAGCCTGCTCTCAGCAAAGCATCTGGCGGGGAGGGAGAGCAAACTGTCCACCTCCAGCAGCTCCAGAAGAGACAGCGTTTAGATGGGGAGGGCTGTGGGACTGCTCTGGGGTGGTGGGAGGTTGCTCCAGTCAATCTTCTAGCTGATGAGCAGAGAAAAGGACACAACTTGTCTGGCTGAAGGAGATTCCCATGCACTGAGGTGAAGGCTAAGACAGTGTGACATAGGGAAGACTCCCCAGAAGTGCCAGCCTGAGGGATAGATACTGAAAAGGATACGGATTTCAGGTTTACACCTTGGAGTGGGAGCCAAGGGCTCTGCCTGCAGCCATGAACTCCTGGGGACACCGAATCCTTTACTCTAGCAGCAGACCAAGCTGCTTTATGAGCAATATGGAAGTGAGGATCAGGAGCTCGTGTGTGTAATTGTCTAATAGCTGCTATTAGAAACAGGGATTCAGTGGGAGAAAGACTGCTGAAGTGGTTGGAGAAGTTTATTTGCTCTTTAAAAAAAAAAAAAAATCATAAGTTTTTGGCTAGTCTAGGAAAAACATAGTGCTCGTGGTCATGAGTAAGCGTGGTGTGATTTCACATAGTCCCAGGTTTCTGCCGGCAGCCGGGGTCCCCGTGCTGCTGCACGGGGGTGCGGGTGGGGGAGAAGGGGGCTGGGACACCGGGCGTCCCCCGAGCTGCTGGCGGTGCCAGCCCTGGCCCTGCACGTTGCAGGTTGTGGGATCAAACGGGATAATGTGGATCTGGTGCAGGATAGTTGTTTTTAGCACCCCTTCATAGACCTGTTGCAAGAGCGGGATGCGTCTGTCGCTGTTGAAGTTCACCTGTCTACATTTTGGGAAGACTCTCTAATTCCTACAATGGGAATTAAAAGGGGGTTTAGTTTTACACAAGTGAAACTTTGTGGAGCCTGTGTGTGAGGTTTTGGAGGCAGCTGTAGTCACTGACCTCTCCTGGGCTTGGTTTTCATTATGGCTAATAAATGCTAGTGAAGCAGTTCTGAGATCTAGTCGGCAGCAATACTCCTGTGAACAAGAGGAGCTGGGGACAGATGTATTTTGTTCGCTGCCTGCTATTCATCAGGCAGTTTGCTTTACCTGTCCAGATGCATATCCCATGGCTTCATATCTGCATTGCTTCTCAAAAGAGAAGACTAAAAGGTGATTTAAATGAAGCTGTTACCAGCAGAGGAGAGTCACAGTATTTTGCATGCTGATTTTTGGACCTCCTCTTTTCTTTGTGGACTGTTTTCTGATTAGGTTGCCTAACAGCATTGCTAAGGAGATTATTTTTAGGCTTTTGTTTTTTCTCCAAAGCACCTGCAAATCTCAGCATGGAGAACTTCCTCCTTCTCTGCTCAGTTATTCAAAATACCATATCTTTCCATGCAAATTGACTTGGGGACATTAGTCAAAATATCAAACCAAACATTTTTGATGTTCATTTCAAGAAATGCAATTTGAAAAAAGCTTGCTATATGTTATCCCCAAAAGCTTTATAGCAAGATAAAGAAGTTTTAAGGTTTCAAAGTGCAAACCTAGATAAAAGATTTCAAACAGGATAAAAGACGTGTGATAGCACTAGATCCATTTGAACTGTACAAAGGAAAAATAATGCTAACTCTTCCAAGTTTTCTAATTGAATAATTGCCAAACTATGAATTCTTCAAAGACCAGTTGGTATTTGCAGAGGTAAAAGAAGATGGGGAGGCAGAGCGATGATTACCTTAGCACTAGGCTTATTCTTACTTTAAAACCTCTTGAATTTAGATACAGATGCTCATGCTTATGGGTTTTGAGCAGTTTTGGCACAGAAACAAGGTCTGGAAGTGGTGGTGGCATTTAAGTGATTTTGAATTCGTGGTAGTGAGGAGATAATTTCTCTGGGAATCACTGGAAATAATTCAACTTATGGACCATTTTGGTCATTACCTGGATAGGAAAGAAACAAAAAAAATCATCAGCACACATTTTTTTTTTACAGTGCTGCAGAGTAAAGGATGCCAAGAGACGGTTGCCTGCCAGGCTGTGAGAAAGCACAGGGGTACGGAGAAAAGTGAGGAAATTCTGATACCTGTCTATAGGTGTCCTTGCTTGTGGTCCATAGCATCTGTTGATGTAAGGATTCAGAAAGGATTTAGGGATTAATGCATCAGATTCGTAAAAATTTCTGCTTCTGCTCTTTGGACAAGCACAATTGCAACTTGCATCCCAGACTAAACAAACAGGAGGTTTTTGTAGAAGCAAACTTGGATTTTTCCACATTTCCTCCTGTAATTGGATACTCATAATGACACATTGCATTTTTGATGTGCATTTTAAATACTGGACTGGATGTGTGACTTTTTATGCTTATTAATCCAGTGTCTCCAATATCGAGGCTGTGAGAGATGAGTAGGGCTTGGAGTTTGAAGCTTCTACTCCCTCTTTCTTTAGGCCTTAGAGTTTGCAGGATCCACCTGACATGAGCTGTTGCTTTGTGCTGTGTTTTGTTTTTCTCACTCAAACTTTTACACTCAGTGTTATTTCAGGGATTGACAGAGAAAGCCAGGGTGTACGCTTTGACATAAAGATCCTTCCATCCTTCTTGCCTGCCGTTGGAGAAGACCCTTGGAGGTCACTGGAGACCTTTAAAACTCCAGAATTTAACTTTTCTTGTGCTTTTTAATAGCAACTATTATTATAAAGCATCCTCACTTTGCACAACTGCAGTCTTCCCCTTATATTTCCAGCGTGTGCAGCCTAGAGAGATTTGCAGCCTGACATGTTGCTGCTTTTTTGCTTCCAGGCTGCTCAAGGAGGAGACGACCTGGATAAAGATTTCACCGAGGAAACAATAAAAGAATATGATGGGAATTATTACGATAACTATTATGACCGAACAGTCTCTCCCGATATTGGCCCTGGCATGCCTGCTAACCAGGACACCATCTACGAAGGGGTAAGAGTTAATTTTCCACCAAGGGTAAGCCTAGTTCAAAATGTTTGTCTTCCTGTAATTTATAGCATAGAGATTAGCAACGCAAAAACCAGTGAGAGCATCTCGCTTGGATTCATCCACCTCCAATGCATGTGTTTTGCACAAGGCGAGGAGGTGGTGCCGTGTTTCTTTTCTACAAGAACATCAGCAGTCCTTTGGTTGCAGAAGTTCTCCCAGGATCTCCAGTTCCTGCTCGGAGGGATGCAGGCGATGTCCCCTTTGACTGTCTGGCTTTGTGTTTCCCTTGTGTGCTACAGATCGGTGGCCCACGGGGCGAGAAAGGACAGAAGGGGGAGCCTGCGATTATTGAGCCGGTAAGGATCATCTGGGATTTTGGTGTGGTTTTCTTTTTTTCCCTGAGGAAAAAGGTACAAGGGGTGTGTTCGGTGTGGCTTGGTGTTCTCAGTGGTGCAGCTGGGAGGAAAACTTCCCATGGAAGAATTACTTGGTTCATTTAAAAACTTTTAATTTTTTTTTTTAAACTTCAAGAAGCAACCTAAATTATGAAGGAAGTGCAAAATTTCCCATGAAATCTCTCATTTACCAAAATAAAACCTAGGCCTTTTAGCATTGAAGCATTAGACAGAGGGCATGTCTCACCTCACTTCTGAAGTGCCCCTGACTCGGCAGTGAACCCGCTCCCCCAAGTACCCGCAGCCGGTGGCCAGGTCATATCCTGACCCGAACTTGCAGCTTGGGGCCGGCTTTAATTGTGCAACTAATGGGTTCATCACTGTGGAAATAAAAGGGTTCTCCCTGCACACAGCTGTGGGAGAGGAGAGGTTTGCTCCTGCGCCTGCTCTAGGGTCCCACCAGCTTTCCACCTTCAGACAAACCCTGTGTCATCGCAGGAGTGGAGCCTGGTGCTCTCTTTCTTTACGATTCTGCCCTGGCCTGTTTCTGAGGTTCTTTCTTTCTAAAGAACAGTTATAAACTGCCTGTGCCCTTTGCAGTTTGCAAAACATGTGGGTGCCCAACTGAGCACCCCCTTAAGTGAGGATGGAGCTGCTCCCCAGCTGCCCTCGCGGTGGGGACGGCTGGTGTTTGCTCAGCCGTGCCCGTTGAGCAGAGCAAGAGCCTGTTGGCTGATGGCCGTGTGTCTGTCCCTCGTTGCATGTCAGGATGCCGAGGTACCCCCATGCCTGCTCCTCTCCAGGCTGGAAAACGGGGCTTTGGGTCCTTGCAACCACCTTCCCTGAGCCCTGTCCCTGAAGGGCCAAATGCATGCTCGCTGCACACCAGCAACTCCATTAACCTAATTTTCCTTGGCAGAGGGCTAGCGCGGTGTCCAGTGTCACGACGGCGCTTCCCATCACTCGCAGGCCATTATTTTTCTTTTAATTCTTCCTCCCTTTCCTTCTTTGCCTGACACTTTTGCAGATAGCGGGGCAGGGAGAAGCTGGGGTGCAGCAGCAGGGCTTGAAAAGCCTGCAGGAGTGCCTTATAAAAGCATTTCCGACCTTTCCTTCCTTCTCTTCCTTTCTGGGCCTCGCTCGCACTCTGCAAACAAAAGGAGGAGTGAGCCATTTGCTTATCGGAGGTGTGGGAAGGGTGGGGGGCAGCTGAACCCCCTGAAGACGATGGCAGAAACCCAGCTTTGCCCTGTCCAGAACCAATCCGAAATGCCACAAAGTGAACAAAATAGTTAAGTTTAATCATCCAGAAAGAATTTGGCTGCCTTTGCTGTTTCAAAACACTGGAGCATGTATAGCTTTTGCCAGAAAGTAAACAAGACCAAATGCCGCCTTTTCCCTTTCCGTGCGGTTCCTCTTCAGCAGAGGGAAATTCAGATTTGCTGCACTCTTTAGCTCTTTTTTGGTGGTTTTTGTTTTTGATGGGAGCTGCAGCAGAGGGGGAATAAAAACCAAATGCAGAAGTTGGATTCTGCTGGATTTTCTCTCCTTTTCGTTCAAACCACCTCTCCTTCAATCCTTGCTCTGTGCTGACGCTCGCTGGAGGCAGCGGGGCAGCGCAGGGCGAGGAGGGACACAGTCGGGGATGGCTGGGACCCCCCCATCCCAGCTCTGGAGGCTCCAGGCTGCCTTTGCCTCCTCCAAGCCCTCTGTTCTTTGTGGGGAACCCTGGTGCTTGCACCTGCCTTCAGGGAGGGTTTGATCAGCCTTTGCATGGCACCTTTGTGTGCTGCAGCCAGCTTTTGGGCTGTTTCAGTGATATTAGCTTTGCTTGTGGGTAGCACCTGGGTGTTGATTGAGGGGAAGCAACACCCTGTTTTCTCCTGGGACAGTCCTAAATCTGTGGTTTGCTTGCTACCCCCAAGGCGATCGCCCTCGGTGGCATCCCTGTGCTGGTCCTGGTCCGAAAACCCTCCCACATTTCCATTGCTCCTCTTGATGAGCAGTCATATAAACAGTGGAGGTTTCTTGCTGAAGAGAATCTCCAGATGTCCTTAAAGCTAGAGCTCAACATAAACCAACAGATAAATATGGGAAGATGCCAAGGATGTTTGCATGGTAAATTGGCTAATTAGCCCAGACTCTTCCCCCATGTGGAGGAGAGTGTCCCAAGGCTCTGCAGCCGGCCATGGGAAGCAGAGCCTCAGAGCTGGGCATGCTCAGACCATGGTAATGCTGGCACCCAGCAGCCCAAAAATGTCTTGGGGAGACCTATGTGGGCCGTGGCTCCTCTGCACCAGCCCAGAGACAATTATTAGTTTCTGTTTCAGAGCCTGCTGCACCAAAATGTGCCATCGTTGGTCTCAACAGGGATGGACTTTGGGGTGTCCATATGGGGAAAGGTCTGCTGGGACCTCTGGCGGGGTTTCCTGTGCAATGTCCTCATTGCGTGTCTGAAAAGGAGCCAGTGGTTAGTGGTTGTCCTGGGGGACACCTCCATCAGCATAGCTCTCCTCTTCCTGGTAGCCTCCAACAGCAAATAGCTCATGCTTAGTGCAGGTTGGAGGAATGTCGTGTAGAGTTCACCCCTAATTCCTACCCAGAAGAGAGCAGTGTCTCCATGGCAGACAGTGAAACTGCTGTCAAAATGGGCACGGGGAGAAGTCCATGACCTAAATTCTTCACTGGTGAAGAACGACTGCACAGGCACTTCTGTGATGACAGCAGCAGCAAATTTCCCCTAACGCATCCAAATGAAGCGGAAGCCAGATTTTAAACGAGGTGGTAATGAGTAGTACGGACATTAGGAAAGACAGAAAATAGTGCTGGCCGTGCATTAGTGGTGCAGAAACACACATCCCACTGGTGGAAGCAGGGATGGTTCACGGCACATGTTTTACCCTGTTTTTTGCTCCTCTGGGTTTAGAGACTGTGGCTTTTAGGGTAGGAATGCCTGGATTTTCATCTAGATATTTCAGATTCGTTCAGCTCAGCCCTATCTGCTGTAGTGGCTGCCGTGGGGTCAGCCGAGGCTTTTAGCACTGGAGCCTGAGCCCAGGAGACTGGCCAAGGGTGACCCGAGACCAGTCCCTGCACTTGCTTCCTCCTGGCTTCTCCCATATGAGCCGACTGCTTATCTACAGATTTTTACAGGCTGATTTCATCCCTTAGGAGAAATGTCCCTGTTTGCTACAGATGAACTGGCAAGCACTGAGAATGCTTTGGCTTGACCTGGGTGCTGCTGGGGGCACGGTTGCTGGTCTAGAGATAAAAGGGCAGTGCTTGCTGTGGGGCTTTTCCCAATAGATCGTCCTGATGGGAAAGCATTTGCCAGGTTTATTGGGAGGCTTCTTTCCTGCCTCTTACATACCCATGAGGGAAGGAAAAAAAACCCCAACACCTCAATTCTACTGAGTACATGATAGACCTGATTTAAAGTTATGACAAAATATTTAGATTAAAAGGAGTGGAATAACATTATTCTACCATTTTGCCCACACAGTGATTTCCTAGGTACACAGAGTAAATCACAGCATGCAGTCTGCTGGGAAAGTAATTTAAAAAAAAAAAAAAACCACCTTGCAATTTGATTATTAACTTTTTTTAAGCTGTTTGAGTCTAGAAACAGCTTCTTCCTGAAGAGGAGCTCTTCTCCTGCTCCAGCGCCATCAAGGCTTGCCGTGCCCCAGGGTTTGCCCTTTGCCTGGCCATGAGCTAAGGGAGAAGGGCTGTGGTTAGGAAGGTGATGCTGTGCTAGGGCGAGGGTGGGCTTGGTGCTGGGGGAAAAAGCTGTTTTGCTGTGCCCTGTGTGATTCAAAGAGATGGTATTTGGCTTTTCACTGGGCAGTGCCTTTTGTGCCTCTGGCTATAGGAACACAGGAGATGTCATCCAGAGAGAGTGGAAACCCTTCAGCTCTGGGATACCTAGACCTAGCAGCAAGACCTGACATATTTAAGAACAAATAAAGCATTGGGCTTTCCAGCCCTGTAGTCAAAAAACCTTTGAGGGTGCGTTAATCACTTGTTAATCACTTTTTTTCTTCGTCTTGCTTAGGGTATGCTGGTGGAAGGCCCACCTGGTCCCGAAGGCCCAGCAGTAAGTGCCACTTTGCCTACACCCTGCACCGAAGGCTGCGCGCGCTGCGGGGTGCTGGATGCGCGTGGAGGGCTCGGCACGCAGCTGTTCCTGGGCTCTATTGCTTCCATATGCCATGCATGTGTACAGAGCGCTTCGGGGTCGATTTTCTGGTGCAAAAATAAACAAAAGCTCTTATTCTTTTCCTGCTCGTTGTACAAATATGTTACAAATAATAACGCATTTTCTTTTAGTGGCTTATTTTTTTCTGTCTTTTCTATGCTAGGGCCTTCCAGGACCTCCAGGACCAACTGGACCAGTGGGCTTAATGGGTGACCCTGGGGAGAGAGTGAGTACCCATGTTTTTCTTCTCTTTGGCGGAAGCCTTGGGTCATTTTGTGTGCGCAAAGTGGGACTGTGGTGTACCACCAGATCCCTGAAATACTGCTCATCCTGCAATAGTGGTCTTCTCTGAGTCAGCCTCCAAAGGAGCTTATGGTAGGGTACAGAGCAGACCTTTGCATCCAGGGGCCAAGGGTTGGGGAACAGCCACACTAGTCAAATGCATTAAGCAGTTTTCTCCAGGTTAAAAACCAAGAGTAAGGCTGACAAACCCTCTGCTTTCTGTCTGCACCCTTTGGCACATGGCTGCTCGTTCCAGTGTGGGAACTGGGCTGTGGCACTGGGAAAACAGGACAAGCAAACACACAAAATAGCTGTTAGCACGGTAAAATGAAGTTCAATAGCCATTCCATGTCCTCGTTCCAGCTGGTGTTGAGTCCTGGTAGAGGGTTTGGTTTTGTTTGGGGCCAGGATGATCCCGGGATCATGCCGGCCCCCCTGCTGCCGGTCTTTCCTTATGCTCGTTTTGTGTCCCACTGCTCCTGGTGGGAAGGTGGCTCTTGTGCAGCACTCGCCTTTTCTGTAGGTGGATTATTGGTCTGTACCAGCGAGCACTAGAGACTGATTTATGTGCTTTAACAACGCAGTAACTTAGGTTTTGTGTGTTTGGTTTTGGTGTTACTTTAAATCAGTTTTGTCCCTAGCAGCCACTGCTTTGTAAACTGCTGCCTGCAGAAGCCTCCAGCCTCGGGGTGTCTCATCAAAGGCAGCTGTTTCCAAGCACTTTTGTGGACTGTGCCCCCAAATCCCATCGTTTAGCACTTTAGTTGCATATTTATTTGTAATTGCTGGGTCCTCGCCTGGGATCAGGAATGACCCATGTTTTGGCAGCTGCTGAACTCGAGCCTCAGGTCAGTAAGTGGTGCATAAGCACCATTCGAAGGGCAATCCATGTGCCTGGCAATGCTGAAAACTAAAACCTGCCCTCCTCACTCCCCAAGCCGAGCCTCTGAAATGACCCTCGCACCAATACACTCCTCATTTGCTTTTGTTCACCCACAGTTCAAGCCCGTTCCCCCTCCCTGGCAGAGGCAGCCAGGCGAGAGGGTACCCGGGGGTGCACAGCTGCCTGGGCAGACGGGGACCAGGCTTCACGCTGCTCCCGGTCCTGCACCCAGCGGGAATTTTGGCCTGACATCTAGTGGAAGATTCACCATAGCACAGACGGGCTCTGGCTTTGCACAGAGGCTGAGGTGGGATCAGCCTTGGCTGCCAGGGCAGCTCTGGGTCTGAAACTAGAGGAATGCACGCCGTGCCCTTGAGCAATACTGGTTTGGGTGATGGAGCGTCAAAATCGGGGCTTTGCTGGTGGGAGAAGAGGGTTCCTGTCTCGATGCCGCCCAGCGGAGCGGCGTGCAGGGCTGCAGACTGGTGCAGCAGCAGCTTGGGGATGCGTACCAGCAACAGTTGTCTTGCACGAGTAAATTCACTGACTTCAGCAGGTTTGTGTGAGCAAAACAAACGGAGCTGGGAGCTTGACGCTGTTTTGGTGCCTTGGTGCATCTTGATGTTGAGTGCGGTAAAATACGTGTTCAAAATAGCTTCTAGTGTACTGCTGTTTCATCTGGGGAATGGGGCTCCCAGCAGCCCTAATGCCAGCCTCCACCTGTGGCTCATTTGTGGCCTGGGGCATCCTGACACTCCTGATAGCAAAAAGGCCAAAAAATGTGCCTACAGGTGGGTTTCTGAAGGCAAGCTTGGTTGGAGGTCTGTTTTTCCAGAGTTTCTCCTGGAAAGCACAGGAGAGAGGAGGGCAGCAGCGACGTGGATCACAGGAGATGCACCCGAACACGCAACATCCCGCTGCTGTCAGTGCTGTCACCCAGCGAATGCAAAACACCTTTCCAAGGAAGGGAGTGCTTATCAGCAAATGCTTCCCTAATCTGAGCACTGAGGTCCTGAGCACATTTTTCTGGCAGATAAGGCAGCCCGCTACCCGTGGCAGGCACACATGCACCGCAGCATCCTCCCCCCATCCAACAATTGGCTTCCAGATGGGGAACCGCATCCCGTTTGCCTCCTGGGTGCCCAGGAAGGATAAACTGGGGTGACCCAGGCTCTCTGTGCTTGTAGGGCTTCCTACTCTTCTGGCAGGTTTTGGTTGAATTCTGCCTGGACAAGGTGGGAAAAGCCGATGACCAGGTTCAAATGGGAAGGTCTGGATAGATAAGGGGCGTTGTGCTCTTCTGATGTGTGTCTTAGCACAGCTAATTGCTGCAACTGCTGCTAAGCATTTGTCTTGTGGCCTTGCTTATCTTTTTTTTTTAACTTTTTTGCCTTAATTGGGTAACCTAAGACCCAGAAAAATAGGAGGGAGAATTCACTCCATTGCAGAAGGTCAGAACGAGATCTCTATGCTACCAAGCATCTCACCTTAGCCTCATTTTTAGTGCTGGAGCCATGCCAGAGGTTTGCTGTGGCTACCTCTGCGGTCGCCATGAGGTGTGCATCAAACCCTCTGGTTTTCATGTCGTCTTCCTCCCAGCCTGGCTGCGGGCACGGCAGCACCAGCTGAGGCACCTCTGGAAGTGACCAAGCACAGTTATACACCAGGGCGCAGGAAGGGATGTCTCAAAGTATGAAACCAGCAATTAGACAGAAAGGCTGAATATTTTTCCCCAAGTCCTTCCTGACCCGGCCCTCTGCACGGGTTAAGTGGAGACTGAGCCACTGTGCCTTAACTTGCAGAGGCCTTCTTTTCTAAGCTGGTGTTTGCCTGTCCCTTCTCCCAGCTTTTAAAACCCAGCTGTGTCCCCTTTTCTGTCCTATGTACCCTTGAGCTGTTGTCCTTCCCTAGTGCTGCCCTTGCCATCATTCCTCTCCCACCCATCGAGGTGGTTCTCCATCCCACCTGCTCGTCAGCAATAAGCAAGAGATGGGAAACTGTCCCTCTGCAGTTTGGTGCTCTTCCAGGTTACCATCCCATGGGGGTGGATTTGGGACCCCCACGGGCCTGGCTGCCTTCCCTGGGGACATGGGCAGGAGAGGGTTGTGTTCTCAGCTTTCCTGCCTGCTGGAGGACAAAGCAACCAGCTGGCTCCAAATCCTCATTATTCACCTCCCAGACCGATGACATGCATGTTGCTAAATACAACCACTGAGAGAAATAAAATAATTGCTGGCCTGCACTGGGAAGTGCCTGCTGCAGTTTTAAGGTGTACTTGAGGAGATTACCCAGTTGTTGGGGCATTCTTGTGGCAATGACCCTAACCTGGGCCCTGTTTTTTTGGTGGGTTTTTTTGGTTTTGGTTGTGTTTGGTTTTTTTTTTGTTTTTTTTTTTTTTTAATTAAGGCTCTGTGTTGCCTTGTTGGTCCCTGGGGACTTGGCTGGAGTCTGCTGACTGCTGCGCTCCCGCATCCCCCCTGGAGCATTGCCTTAAAGACCCCCACCTCATTTACACTCCTGGTGTATCTATTGTTTTTTGGTGGAACAGTAATAATGTTTCTTGTGGTTGTGACATGATTGAGAATGAGAGGCCCTGACTGTGCTCCATCGATCTGCAAGCTCAGAAAGTCAATATGCAGCTGCGGGCTCAGCCCGTGGCTGGGAGCCGGGGCCATGGCTCAGAGAGGTTGGCTTAACCCTTGAGACACTGCGGTCCTTGTTCCTCCTGCACTACTCCAGCAGAAAGACCAAGGGAGGGCTCTGCATCCTTGGGTGTCGGACTTCATAGAGGATGGGCGAGCTGGGCAGGGTCCCAGCAGTGGCTTGCATCTTGCAGTGGTCTAGGATTAGTTAACAGAGCTGTGTGGCTTCATCAGGCTCTTGGTGGGTCTTCATCCTGCATGGGTCCTACATGCTGCCCAGCTTTCTCTTCTCCTCCCCTTGATGTGCTGCTTCTGCTCCGAAGAATTCAGTTGCCTGGCAGGATCGATGCTGACCCTGGCGACGAGGGAGTCTGTAGTTCTGCCATTTGTCTGGGCAGACACAGACATTTGCTGGCCAGGCTCCTCTTGAACGGCTGTGCAAAGCCAATCAGCAGCAGACGCACTGGCCCCGGTGATGTTGCTCCACACCCTCAAATGAAAGGCGTAATTTGCGTTCTAGCACAGACGGCACATCCTGCTTTTCTGAGCGTCCAGAACAGAACATAATACAACATATGGTGCATAGAGAAGTGATGAACTTGCAGAGCCAGGAACTGCAACTGTATTAAAATACTCCTTTTTAATTAGAGCAGCTCCTCTTTTAATTTGTTTATTATTAACCCTGCACACAGCTCATGAATTTACATGACACTTATATGCGTATAGTGAGGAACATTTCCTATGCCTGCATCTGATAAAAAGACTTTTTATTTGCAATCAGGCAGGTGCACTGAATTAATATACCAACAATATTCAGCTATGTTAATATTGGCCAACACTCATTTAGCTCTGTTTTATTCATCATGTCAGTTTGTTCATTTATCCCAGTTATTTTACAACACGAAGAAGAGCTTGCGTCACTGGCAAAGCTGCCGAGCAGCCTGTTTGTGGGAGGTTTCAGAGGACTTATCTGGGGGGAGGGAGGTTTAGGATGACTTAGGCAGGTTTCTTTGAGCAGTGGGAAGAAGAAAATATGGCACTTAGGAGACTGGAGAGCTATTTTGTAGGTACTTAGGACCGGAATGAAGAAAGTGGGGAAAATGTGCTACTTTGAATGAGATGAGCTGTAGCATTAGAGCAAACTGCAGCTCTGTCACTGACCCCGCTGTGTGTTTGGAAATCTGGGGTGTCTGGGTGCTCTGGGCTTGCTCAGCATGCCTCTGGGGAAGGCTGGGCGCAAAGCAATAGCTGTATCTTCCGAGACCATACAGTCATTGCGTCCCAAAGGACTTATTCCCCCTGCGGACAGTTTTGCATCTCAGAAGCGTAATAGGTCCCCAAAATCCTTCCTGAGGTTCTGAAAGGCTTGATGTTTTCGGGGTGCACTTTTTTCCATCAGATGGCAAGCGCTGCCTTACCTAGAAGACCCCAAATACTGTGAGAAAGATCTTCAGTTGCGTAATTTTCTGACCAGGGCTGAAAATGGCAGAAAAATAATCCTAGAGAGAGAGACTTAAGGCAAATTTTGAGGCTCAGTACTGTGGGCTGCTGGGCACCGCTCTGTCTGTCACTGTCTGCTACTCAAGGAGCCCGAGTACTAACACGCTGAGGTTTCAGTTTAAACATTCCCTTGAAATATTGCATTAGTGTTTGCACTCAGCATGGCACTTTAGAGCACTGCACCAAATGAAAGTTGAAGTCCCCATCTCTGGCTGCTATATATCAGCAAATCTCTATTTGCATAATGAGAGTGACACAGATTTACACCAACTGAGAGTCTGGCATGCTGCATTTCTTAAAGGCATTCATGAATTTAAATTTACAAAGTGCTTTATGGGTTTGATTTTCCTCCGTACCGTTGCCCCCCGCTGCTTCACCCCACAAGGAAAAGACCTCACACGCCCAACCTGAAACAAAAAGAGGCGTTTATGTATAAAAACATTGCATCAACATTTGCGAGGCAGAGTACACACAGAGGGATAAACAGCTCATTCCTGATCCATCGTATGCAGGACTGGAGTTAAAGGAGAAGAGAGAGAAGGAAGAAAGTTTATTATATAAAATGAGTCTGGCCTAAATTATTTATTGTGCTTCTGCTCCAACAGATGGGGCTGCCCTCTGCACCTCATCAGCGGAGTCGGGGACTCCGGTGTCAGCCAGACTAAGTAAACAGCGTGAATGTAACATCATGAGCTTGTCTTGAAAAATGGATGGGCTGGTGTTATACAGTCTCCCTTCAGCGCTGAGGGAGCTGCTGGGTTGTTTTTCGGGGTTTTGGTTTTTTTTTTTTTGCTGATAAATCACTGGCTGCAGTGCTGTCTGCTGCAGCGCTGGGAGCAGCGTTGTTATTCCAGGCCGGTTGCGGTGCAGATCCTCGGCTCCTCGTCCGCAGCGCTGCTCTGCCCTGTAATTGTGGTGCCGGTCCAGCCACAGCCCGGCCGGAGCGATGCGTGGGCTGGGGCAGGGTGGAGTAGCAGAAGCTCTTCACCCCCACCCTGGTGCTGGGCTCTAATTTAGTGCTTGAAACTTTGGCTTGAATGTTCTGGGTTCCTTTTTAAGAGGGAGATGACAAGGGAAATGTTAAGTTGAATATGGTATAAAGGGAATGGAAGAAGAGGGATCAAAGATGTGAGGGATGCAAAGAGATGCACCAGGATCTTGCTGGAAGACAGTGGGGCAAGGTTAATACATCAAATATTTTGGTTTGGTTTTTTTAAATGTTCTGGTTTTTAGGGACTTTGTTGCCTATTTGTCTTTCCCTCCTCCCTTTCCCACCTTTATCCACCTCCCTTTGCCTCGTGGGATGAGTGTATGGCTTTCTGGGGTAAGGTCTGGCTCTTCTGTGTCCCTGTAGTGTACCCATATATACGTCTGTGATTTGTGGCAGGGTTTTATTTTTACTTTTGTTTGATGTCTGCATGGGCTGGAGGGCTTCAGGCAGGTTGAAGAGAGTGAGAACTAACACAGATGTTTGTTGCTTGCCCTGCCAAGAGCTTTGGTTCTCCACAGATGGGTTTATTATTGGTATTTGCTAAACAGGGGAGCGTCCAAGTCCTCAAGCTTGAGCTGTTGGCCAGGCAGTGCTGTCTGCCTTGCCATGAAATGGGGACCAGGGCTCCTCTTGGCCTCACTGCGATGTGATCAAGTCACTCTTGCCTTCGGCTCCTTAAGCTGGTGTGAAAATTGCAATTAGGTGTGCCCATTGAGTAGTTGGATGTTGTCCTCATTTGCATGTAGGATTGTTGGATGGATGTGCAAATCTGGGTTAACTTAAACTTTTTGCCAAATGCACATCTGGGAATACAAATAGTCTATGGGCTGTCTTAGGAAAATTGGCCATATTTGATTATTTATAGCTTCATCAATAGACCTTTTACTGCATACTTGTTTTTTTAGTACAAGTTAAAGATACTCAACTGATGTTAATCAGCACAGCTCCATCGAGATCCTCAGAGTTTTGCTGATTTACAGCTACTGACAGGATCACTCTCTTGTAGATGGAAGTAGCCTCATAGGACTTAAAAAAAAAAAAAAAAAGGCAGAAGGGAGAAAAATGGAATGACTCAGATGACTGAACATGTATGGAAACATATTTATCCTTCCGCATTTTTATTTCACTGACCTGAGTTATGAAGTTTTATCTATTTTTTTAATAGGTTTTAACAGACCCGACTAAACATCGATTCCATTAACTTGGAACATTGCAGAGACTTCTATTGCTCACTCGAAAATTGCACATGGCAGACCCTGGAAATATGGGGGCCAGGATGTAAGAAGAGGGAATTACTAAGAAAAAAAATCCTGTGCGCTTACAGATGTGTTTCCACAAAATTTGTCTGTCAAGATAAGAGAGCCTTTTGTATCGTGACATACGCATTTACAGCTACAGACTGCTTATGTATGGACATGACTAAAACGATGCTACGGAAGTTTATTTTTATTTCTCCTTCTTGTAGGGACCACCTGGTCGCCCAGGTCTTCCAGGAGCCGATGGTTTACCAGGACCACCAGGGACAATGCTTATGTTGCCTGTAAGTACAAGCATAACTAAGAAAGTATTTAAACGAGTTGGGCTTCTTGACTTTGCTACTGCTTAGTGCCTGTTCTTGCAGAAGTCTCCCATCTCTTTTACACCAAGGACGCATTTTCCTTGGTATAAAAGATGGATCCGGATGGTTCCCCTTGTAAATTTACTTTTTGTAAAGCGCTGTAATTTCTTCGCTGGTCAAAAGCACCGGGCGGGTAGGTTAAAATTTCCAGAAGTGATGAATAAGCTTAAGTGTTTCTGACTGGGCATGGTGTTGGAGAGTGAAAGTCATGAAGAAACAACCGAAGACACCTCCAAGGGCCCAATTTCCAGGCAGAACCCTCCCTCCTACAGTGAGGAACCTCTAACAGCTCTTCAAAGCAGTGCCAAAATTGTAAGCACCTGAATGAACCGGTCTCTTTTAATGACCAGTGTTTAGTTTGCATTGTTTTTTTCCTCCTATATGAAGCTAGCAAGTACTGAGTCAGCCTTCTTGGTCCTGGGATGCTAAAGGAATGGTTATATTTTGTATCTGCTTTGATGTGAGAAAACCCTAAGGAAGCCAGCTGCTGAAAATAAGTGGTTAGGTACCAAAGGGAAGAGTCTTTAGTGAAAAACCACAGCACTCTTGTATGGGCTCCAAATGGTAGGGTGATACTTGTGTAGGTTCTTGGCAGGGTGCCTGGGGTAGCTTGGGCCAAGTGCTCAACATGGAGCTTAGCTGACCATTACAATACATTTGTTGGCCTCTACAGTAACCAACCGTGGGCCTATAAATTGCATCTCTTTGAATCTCCTAGCCAAGTTCATGTGGTCATATACCTAGCGCCAACCAAGTGAAATGCAGAGGTGAAATGGAGGTGAAAGAGCCGTCCAAGGAGGTTCCGCAACCTAGCGAGCCCTTCTTGCAAAACCCCAAACACGTATGCAATTAAGGCAGGAGAAGGGTGTGTGTCCTGGAAAGTGGGCTTGTAGCTGTTGGGGGTGGAAGAGGCAGAAGAAAACATTAAACTCCTTCCCTTTCAAGTTTGGGAAAATAAAACTTTAATGCTTGGGGTTTTTTTAAATCCTTTGTGTGCTGAAGGACGCTGGCTTGAACAAGAGGCCAAACTCTGTTATTTGAAGCACGCGGCTACACTTGAGAAACACAGCCTTTGTCCTGGGGCAAACAGGCAGCTACAGCCAAATAACCTGATGCAACCCCATCTCCGGGGGTCTCCTGGCCAACAGCATCCGCACGGGGAATATCAGCCCTGTGAGAACTTTGCATTTAGTTTTGAATGGTGGTGTGTGAGGTCCTTACAGTTCAGAGCCTACAATCCCTCTTATTGTGCATTACTTTGAGCTGGCAGAATTTGTTGTGCGGGTACGGACATGGGAAATGGTCGGTTTGTGCCTGTGAGCTGGGTGACCTGAGAGCATGATGGTTAACAGGATCGTCTGAAAGGCTAGTGATGGGGTTGGGTCAGTCATGCTGAACAGAGTTGTTTAGGAGTCAGGCTAGCATGAGGGTGGAGGGACAAGCAACCATGTGACTTGCTTTCTCTGTCTTGTTCCCATCAGTTCCGCTTTAGTGGAGGAGGAGATGCTGGCTCTAAGGGACCTCTTGTTTCAGCCCAGGAGGCCCAAGCCCAAGCCATCCTGCAGCAGGCCAGGGTAAGTGAAGGGTGGTGGGGATGTCTCCTGCAGCAGGTACCCGAGGAAGCGGAGGAGGACCAGCATAAATGTGTCAGCGGAGATGTCTTCGTTCTTGCACCGTCCATGGTGCTGGTGGTGGTAACAGCCTCTCATCTGAGATAGAATTGCTTGAGGTGATGAAATCTGGATGACTTGGCCTTTTACTAAAGGCCAGCAATAGGCCAGGCCCTAGAAACATGGTTTTAAATTGCCTGCAGACCTTGGACCAGACCTTCTGCTGGTGCCGGTAGACATACACCTGTGGGCTTCAGTAGTGTTTGCTACGGAAAGCAACACTACTAGACTCAAACTGTTTGAGAGTCTATATGAACAGTTGTGGTATGTGCTGTAGGGGTTTTCTTTCTTTTTGTGGTTCCCCCCCGCCCTGTACATTGTAATAATTAAAAGTACATCACAGGTGTAAGCTGTTCCCAGCGCCACAAATCTCAACAGGCAGACTGCAATTTTCTTTAATGTATTTATTTAGAAATACATGATGACTACCCATGCAACCTTTTTTTCCTTGGGTGACCTTATTGATTGATGATCAAATAATCCCTGGCAGTGTTTGTTATGTAGACTTGCTGGTGAAAAAAGATCGGCCATGCACATTCCCAGTACAACTCTTGTTCCCTGCCTAGATGAGTACCTTAGTGTATAAGGCTTCATACTCATCTGTTCAAAATAAAACTTAATTTCCAGCCAGTACAGCTTTGAAATTTTTCTTCTATGAGTGCTTGTGTGAAATTACATTTGATCATTGACATGTTAAAAGCAGAGGTACAAGAGGCACAATTACAGCAGAAGGGAACATGTGCCCTCCTGCTGTGTTTGCCCTGGTCTTGCCCAGGAGGGACTAAATTCTGATTCTAAGCCCACCCTTGCAATAAAGGGGAAAATATAAGATAGTTTAGGGAGGCAGTTCACAAAGGGACACAGCTTTGGGTGCATTGCTCCTCTCCCTGCCAAATGCAATCATCCAGGCTTAGGTGTGCTCCTTGGGTCTGAAGCCCACGTCTGTCTGCAGCTGGGACGTGTGGCTTGGACGCAGCCAGTCTGTTATTCAGTTATTACTCTGTTATTCAGAGCTGTTGGCGGTCGCTTTAGCGCAGACGTTTTGGGCCGGTCTGCTGAAATAGGCTAAAAGGCAATTTATTTCACCCTTGAATGAAATAAAGTCCATTGGGGTCTCCACCCAGCTGCGTGGCACATGCCCCTTTTAGGTTTATAACGAGGGGTTTGGCCTAGCTGGGGCTATTCTGGCTTCCATCCAGCTCCCCTTTTGCAGAGGGGTTTGATTTTATACGCATTCAGGTAAAGTACAGGGCCCTGATGCTACCAGCCACTGCATTTTCCTGTCCATTAACCTTGCTCTGAGAATAATATCGGTGTATTATGTTTCTGATGTTACCTTGTCAGTCTTAATTTCAAGGCTGCCTACAGTTTTTCCATCAGCATTTTATTTTGCTGGGAAATGGGGGTTTTGACCAGACGAACATTTCATGAGAAGCATCTGCTTTCTCAGACTCTCTGTTTTTGTTCTTTTTTTTCCCTGCCTGTTGAAAATTGTGACTGTTATGAAAAAAACAACCTCCCTCACTCAAAGTCCCTTTTCTCTGGTTTTGTTTTTCTGATTTTCAGGTTTTGGGACAAATTTTAAAACCAAACAAATCCTGGGTAACTTTTGGGTTGTGGATAAAAAGTTGAATATTTCCATAAAGGAAAAAATCGATTTCTTGGTTAACTGCAACCTATTGTCTGACAATTTCAGCTGAAAACTCTGGTACCAAAGCAAAAAGGGAAATAAATGATGTTTTTTTTTGGGGAAGTTACAGGATATGGCAGGAATGGAAAAGGAGTCCTGCAGGGGGGAGGATATCTTCTTTCCTTTTTGGGGGTTTGTTTTTCTTGTTGTTGTTGTTGCTAATTGCATTATTAGGTTGATTTATTCCCTTAAAATATGGCTTTCATTAGGCACTGAACGTTGTCCTAGCCGGCAGTGTTTCAGAGCATCTCCCTTTTAATGGGGTGTTGTAAAAAGATGCCACATAATCTAGTATTTGTGCGATATTTATGCCATTCCAAGTGCAATCACGGGTAGATTTTAATTACTGGACTACACAGATAATTACAACTCTTTTAAAGTGTTGAATTGTCACGAGGGAACAAATTGTCTGAGTGATGTTTTAAAGTGTGGACCAGCCCCATTACCCACCATGGAAATTACTGACTTGATGTATGGTTGCATGACTCCTTAATTATTGAGCTAAAAGCCCCCTGTCGCAAATAGAATTGTCGTTCTGTTTGCAGGATATTAAATAGTAACCAAAAGAAAGGAAAAAATTCCTCCAAAATTCAACTCCTAGGATCATAAAGAAAAAATCCTCCTAAACCGAACTGGTATCATAAATATATGTAAACAAACCCCTATAGCCTGTCCAGGCAAAGCTTTGATGCTTACCTTCAATAACTTGTTGCCAAAAGTGTCCATTTTATTGTGTTTATATGTGATGATGGAAAAGGGGATCTGACCTGCAGAGGCAGATTCTTGACTGGTTTAAATGCAGGTAACTCCTTGCCCTCCATCTGCCCTGGGTCTGGGCCAGGGTGTGTCTATACATGTCTATACAGGGTCCTTCATGTGCGAGGTGCAGTGGGTGTACAGGGGGAGGATGCCTACAGGCAGACGGGGTGTGGGTCCGTATGTCCTCTCAGCAGACCCACGCACCGTCCGGGGGTTTTGCCCATTTGTGGTTGCAGAAAGGAGTTGGTGGAGCAGCAGGTTGGACGTTCTTGGGTCAATTCACTGACGTATGGACACTGCTCCAAGGACTCGTGGTTCTCGGGGTGTGGAGAGAACGTGTAGCTGGTGGTGCGATGGTGGCTTTGTCGCATTGCAGCAACAAGAAAAGACACCAACTGAGCAACGTTTCTCTTTCTGTTGCAGCTGGCGCTGAGAGGACCAGCGGGTCCAATGGGTCTGACGGGGCGGCCGGGCCCCATGGTAAGTGAACGGGCCAGCACGGACGGAGCAGACCCAGCTGGTGCCAGCTCCGGGAATGCTCTGGGTTACCTGCACGAATGGCTCTTTCTTAACGTGGTATGAATCTTCCCTCTGGCTCTGTTGTGGAAAAATGTAATAAATCATGTTCTCTGTTCCAAGGGACCCCCGGGCAGCGGAGGACTAAAGGGAGAAGCTGGAGAAATGGGACCTCAGGTGAGCATGGGCAAACTGGGGGACTGGGGGGGATTTGGGGGGAAATTAAGGCGTGGAGCAGCCAGTTCTGCTTTAGAGGCTGTTGTGAAGGAGCGATTTACCAACTCCAGCTGACAGTAGGAAGGTGTGGGAACATCTGTTTTGCATATAAATGTCCCTTCAAGTATCTAAATGCAGACTCAAGACATAATTTTTAGCCAGCAGTGTAAAATTCTGCAGGTGGTAGTCCTTTCCTGCAAAGACATCCGCGGAGGAGTCCTGTAAATATGAGATAGGTTGGAGTGTGGGGAGTTAGCTAATGCTCAGGAAAATGTTCTTCCAAGCCATAAATCCTGCATTAAGGGAAAGTTCCCATTTTCTAATGGTGGGGGAAGTGATTTGTCTCCACCGTGTAGAGCTACTCGCAGGGCAAAGGCTTTTTTATGGATAAACACGTGCAATTCCTGTCCAGAGATATTCGGTCCTGAGCCTTTCCCTTGTATTTTGGACCACGGGCTCTGCTTGAGGGGTTCATGTTCCATTTTGTAGCCCCAGCAGCTGCCTGATCTGCAATGCCAGCAGGCACGGGGTCCATCTGTCGTACCTTTGGGTGATGGCATTTCTTCCTCTCTCCTTGATGCCATGCAGGGTCCACGAGGCATCCAGGGTCCTCCCGGTCCAGCAGGAAAACCAGGCCGCAGGGTGAGTGTCCTGGGAGCTGTGCTGACAACTGCATTAACTACAATTCCTGCTAGAAATTGTTTCTGCTGCCAAACAATTTCTGAGCACCGAGAGCGTTGCACAAGAGCAGGCTGGCGGTCAGCCGGTGGCTTGTCCAGGACCTCTCCGCCCATCTGGGCAGACACAAATGAGGATGAGAGTTAAAAGCCGGGTGGTGTGGGGCGAACTGCAAGTCCACGCTTCCCACTCTTTTGTCGTCTTTTTTTTTTTTGCTCTGTGGCATTGAGGTTGTAGCTGCATAAACGCTCCGGGCTGGTTTGGACAGTCCCCAAGTCTTGGTAGTGCGTGAGGAGGATCCAGTCCCCGGAGGGTTTCTGGAGCTGGTATAAATGGTGCTCACTCGCTTTGTCGACATCCCTGATGCTGTTTTTTATTTCACTCTGTCCTCTGGCTCGTCGTAATTCGGCTTGCCAGAAGAAGAAACAAGAAAGTCTTTTGTGTGACCCACTTCTGGCTTGCTTAAAAAAAAATTCTCTCATTTCAATTTGCAGACATCGTCATTAGCATATCTTAAAATGTGCTGGAAGATAATTATTTCAAATTAAAATCAATGACCATGTCCCAGCATCCCATGCAGTGAAGCAGCTTCACTTCCATTTGTCTCTCACCCCTCATTAGTGCCAGGCTGAGCCCGGGCTGCTGCTTCAAAAACAGACCAGCATTTTTTCCCTTGCCAAGGGAAGCTGCTCCCCAGCCGGCGAGATCCCACTTAAATAAAACTTCACTCAGCCACAGACCAAAGAGCAGATGTCCCTGCGGTCCTGCCTTACCCTTTGTATTTGACTTTGCTTTTCTCTGTTGCAGGGACGAGCTGGCAGCGACGGTGCCCGGGGAATGCCAGGCCAGACAGGACCAAAGGTAGCGCCGCGTATTTATGTGCTTTTGGGATCTGCATCTGCTTTTTAGCGAACATGAACTGAGGGACCCTTGGCAGAAGGAGCCCACCTTGCTTGGAGGAGGTTGTTGAAATGGTCCAGTGACTCCTGTGAAGTCATGGGCTCCGCGTTTGAGAGAGGGAAGTTAAACACGCACCTAGAAGGCAGAATAGCAATCTTTCTTTTCTTTTCTTCTTTTTTTTTTTTTTAAATGCAACTTTTTAAAATTGCTGCATCCTCTTAATGAGATATGGTCCCTTGGCTGCAGTTGTAGAACAAATACTTTGGAATCCCAATTATGAAAAACAAACATGAATGAGCAGTTGGAAACGTCCTAAAATATAACTACCAAAGAAATACCTATTAACTGGGTGAGGAAATGTAGAAGGTGTGGTGAGGAATTTTAATGCCCTCTATTTTTGTTTGAGACAAAATCCCTTCATTCAGCTGTGATCTGCTGGTATTATCAAGCAAGAAAGAAGCTGTTCCACTGAAATTAAATGCGGAGAAAGTTTGCTCGGGGAATCATGTATTAGAAGGTTTAAGTACTTTATTATGTAGATACTTAAAGCTGGAATAGATAGGGGGTTTTGATACAGAGACAGGAGACTGCAAATCATTTATCCAGTGAAGTGCTTTAATGAGCGTCGACTGCCCTCAAAGGAGTGGATGCCAGGGAAGAAAGGAGAACAGAATAACGACCAGTGCCGGAAAGGAGAAGGAAATTTGCTGTGAGCAGAGACTGAGCGATGATGCTCTAGGACCTGCCAAAAGGAAAGAGCCGTTGCTTACCCTGGGTGCAGCTCGGCCAGCCTTGGCCTGACCGATCTGTCCTCCGATCTGCTCAGGTGTAATCGACTTTCCTTTCCTTGCCAATAGGTAAAGGATTTGTGGAAGGGAGGAGCTGGTACTATTTTCACATACCGTCACTATGTGAAAATACAAGTGGCTTCACCTCTTTACGGACAAAAAGGGACTTTTCTATCTACTGGGTGGTGCTCGCTGCCTTCTGCCCTGGGTGTTAGCAGATGGTGTCGCCCACGATTTGCAAACACCCCTGTGTCTTCTCTCCTTTCCAAAGAGTTGAGGCTTTCAGGAAGAGGCTGTCTCTGTGCATTCCTGTTCCTGTTTCCCCCCAGAACACAGGAGGCTGGAACAGGGCACAAGTTTGGCTTGCCATGGCTCACCATGAGCTCTCCACATACCGACCCGGAGGAGCTGCATGGGCTCGGGCGAAAGCCCCGGGAAGGCAGGCTCCTGCTGCCTGCCTGCTCTAGGACTAATGGGGTTTTGCTTTTTCTTCCTCACACTTGAATTTCTCAACGTTGCCTGTTTCCTTCAGGAGCATCCATGGACCCCGGGGCAGGGGACGTGAGGAGCGCATTTAGGGGACGTTCGCATGGGCATTTGCAGGCAGATGCTGGCAAGCGTGAGGGTGCATGACTTTCTCAACACGGTGCCAAGCGCAAATTAACACACATGGCCTTTTAGCAGAGCTCATTATTTTGGGCTTGGCATCATGCTCCCCAGAAGGATGCCCAAAGCTGTGTTTACAGCAGGAGGCAGTGGTAGGAGCTGGAGATGTGTAAGAAAAGAGGTATGCTGGGAGCCATCCTTGCCTTCCCAGTATCGGTAGTTTGGGGCTATATATCCCCTGTACATCCCTGGTCTCACAGCTGGCTTTGTGCCTGCTCAGGCAGAGCAGGCTGCTCTTTGCAGGGTAGCATGGAGATGCACCCTTAAGCATCCACGTGAAGTCACCAAATTTACCAGCTGATGACGTTCCTTTTTAGGTCAAAACAGATCTGCCTTCTGACCTTAACTTCATTAAGACAGTTTCCAGAGTTTATTTGTATGTATATTTGTTTCCTTGGAGTGTCCAGGAGGATTAAAAGGTTGTATGGGATGGATTGCAGTAAAGCTCAGGGTGGTATTTGGGGACCTGTTGGCAGGTGTGGGAATAGTAGTGTCCAGTTTGCTCACCTGTGGATTGTCATTTGTAATTCCATGGAATTAAAAATAGTTGGACTAAAAGAACCTGTCTAGAAGGGAGATGCTTTAGATCATGGAGAAGTCACCCAGAGAAGCTCTGAAATCCACACGGAAAAACATCTAAAACTGTAGGTGCTGGGGGAAGAGGGAGGAGGTAAAATGACTTTGAGCTTTTTACTTTTTTTAATCTATAACTTTGAAATCATCACTGGTCTGATGGGAGGTGAAGGCTGAACGTCTGAGAGAGAAAATCGATCCCTCCTTGACACAGAAAGGAAACAAATTGGAAAGATATTCAACAGCAGGTGGAAATGTGTACTAAACTGGTTTTTCTTTTAGGGTGACCGAGGGTTTGATGGCTTGGCTGGTTTGCCTGGTGAGAAGGGAAATAGAGTAAGTTATTTTCCTCTTGTCTTCTGGCCATGGTCTGTAATGAAACCTTGGCAGGAGGAGGTGGCTGGGAGGTGCTGGGAGGAGGGCAGCTATTGCTGGGGACGAGCCACAGTGGTGCAACTAGGAGAGGATAAGAGCATGTGGGATGTCCCAGCATCCCTCCCAGGCACAACATTCACATCCCGGGAGGCTGCGAGATCCTTCTGGGACTGCTTGAAATTGGAAAGGGGGGAAAAAATTGCCTTAATAAAATGCAGACTAAAAACCAAAGCAAGAAGCAAAACCTGCTTTTAGACAGTGCAGTTGTGGATGGAAATTGCCAAAAACTATAATGGGATTCTTCTCTTTGCTTTATAATTAAACAACGGGGGAAAAAATGCAAGAAGCTGGTTATTTTGGCAGGCTGTTCATGCCTCCCCTCCCTAGAGTGTGCAGCCATTGCTTTATAAAGCAAGGGAGTGTTTGAACAGCGGAGATTGCTTCGTGATTACAAGCTACGCAGGAAAGGGAAGACGGTGCCTGAGAGAGATGCTTAATCAGCCAGAAATGGAATAGCATGCCTTGGGTAAAGCAATAACTGCATGCAGAGCCCGAGTCCCTCTCCTGAAGGAGCTACAGTGCCTGCTTGATTCCCAGACCCCTGCCGAAGTGTCACCAGTAACCCCCGTGAGCTCTAGCCCCTGGAGGACGTTAGTCTGCCAGTGCTGGAGCCCACGCGTGGCCCTGAGCAGGTAGAGAAGGGCTGCTGCTTCATAGAGCACAGGGAGGGGGGAACCGTGAGGGTATGAGTACCTTCAGCACATGGTG